GCGGCGGCGGCTGCGAGGGCGACGAGGAGGGGTGGCGAGGACGACGAGGGGGAGGCGGAGGGGAAAGGGGGGACGAGGAGGGGTGACGAGAACGGCGAGGAGGGGTAACGAGGACGATGGGAGAGGCGGGAGGAAGGGGGAAGGCTGGAGGGAGATTGGAGAAGAGGAGTGATAGAGTGAGGGAGTGAAGGGGGAAGGGGACAGGGAAGGAGAGGGATGGAGAATGGAGGAATGGAGGGATGGAGAGGAGGAATGGAGGAGGAATGGAGGGATGCAAGGAGGGGAGAACGAGGAAGAGCAGGAACACGAGGAGGGGGGCGAGCGCGTGGAGCGGGATGAGGTGGAGCGGGAGGAGGAGGAGGAGGAGGAGGAGGAGGAGGAGGAGGAGGAGGAGGAGGAGGAGGAGGAGGAGGAGAAGGGGGAGGAGGAGGAGGAGGAGGAGGAGGAGGAGGAGGAGGAGGAGGAGGAGTAGGAGGAGGAGGAGGAGGAGGAAGAGGACCACGAGGAGCAGCAGAAACAAGCCCTGCAGGCAGGACGGAGGAGGGAGGAGAGCAGGAGCAGGGAAGGAGCGGGAAAAGGAGAAGGGAGACGCCAGGAGGCGCGGCAAGGAGGACCACGAGGATGCGGAGCGGCACGGCAAGGAAGAGCGCGAGGAGCAGCGGCAGGTGGAGGAGGCCGAGAAAAAGGACGAGGGCGAGGACGAGGACGAGGCGAGGGCGAGGGCGAGGGCCGAGGACGAGGACGAGGCGAGGACGAGGCGAGGGCGAGGACGAGGACGAGGCGAGGACGAGGCGAGGGCGAGGTGGAGGAGGCCGAGAAACAGGACGAGGCGAGGGCGAGGACGAGGGATGAACACGACTGTCAGCAGGATCGGAAGGCGACTTGCAGCAGGATCGGAAGGCGAAGGAGCAGCTCTCCACCGTCATGGTCCACTCTCGCCTTCACTGCCTGTTATCCCTCCTGCACCGCAATTCTTGTCCTTCCTCCGATTATCCCGCCGCGATCCTGATGTTGATTATGATGTGTTACGGTTTGCATTCTGACTCCGATGGTGTTCTTAAGCTCCCGTCGCGCGCACTGCGCCGAGCTGCCGCGATCTCTTCTACGGTCTGGGACTCAAGCGGGCGTGCCCGGCAGCGCGAGCGCGATGCGAGTCGCGCGGTCTGTGCGATCGACTTGCAGCCGTCCTGGTCCCCGTCGGGAGCTCGCGCGCGTCGTCCAGCCTTCAGTCGGGCACGTCCCTCTACAGGAGGAATATTCAAGCAGTAGGAAACAAACATCGTATGGGCACAATGTTTGCCTATTGTTGTTCGTGTTTGGTTCTGGGCAGGTTGGTGGCTTTCTTCATTCGTTGTCCCCAATCCGCCTGTAGGAGGACATGCCTGACCTGAGCCTATTACCAGCCTCGAACGTGTCCCTATCCCTAAGATTGACACGCCAAGAGGCGATGACCATCTCAGGGCTTCGCCCTCAAGGAACAAGGGAATCCCTAAGATCGGCATCGTGATGAGGAGGTGCCCAGCATAGGCATCGGGATATGTTCCAGGCTGGTAAGTCCAGTTCCCTCGAGCGCTGTGATCACAAGCCGCTCCCAGAGGCCTCGCCCTGCCTCGCTCCCCGCGGCCTGGCCTCTCTCCTCTCCCGAAGACCACGGCCCCTCGCCCTCCCTGGCCCCGCGGCGCGCGGCCGGGGGGGCTGGCGGCGGAGGCGCCGCCGGGAGGGCTTCGGCGCCGACCCTTAGAAGGGATCCTCGCGGAGCTCCGGCGTGGCGTGCTCACGCGGGGCTCGTTTCGATCCCTCCGACTTCGATGCGGCTCGATGTCGATGGCTGCCGATGCCGATTCGATGCGGCTTCGGCTTCCGATGCGGGCTCCGATTCCTTACGGGGGGCACATCAGCCTGCCGATTTCCGCCGATTCGACTTCTCCCGACTCGGCTGCCGATGTTCGCCGATCCGGTTCATTTCGGTCGCCGAGGCGACTCATGGATTCGATTTGGGACTCTCCTGCCACGTGCAACCAACCCGCACAGGAAGGATTTGTCCTCCTCCTCCTCCTCCTCCTCCTCCTCCTCCTCCTCCCTCCTCCTCCTCCCTCCTCCTCCAGCATCTTTCCAAGGGTCCTTTATGATTCTACGGGCTGGCTGTATAATATCTCTCTCTCCGCTGCGGAAAAAAAGGGTGCGCCCTCGACCCGCGAAGCACAAACACTGCATATCTCTCTCCGTCCTTCCAGTCCTGGGGCGTCCGACGGCCGTCCCGAGGGTGGAGGAGGAGGAGGAGGAGGAGGAGGAGGGATGGAGGAGGAGGGGGAGGAGGAGGAGGAGGAGGAGGGATGGAGGGGAGGGGATGGAGGAGGAGGGGGGAGCGAGGAGGAGGCGAGGCAGCTCCCGGGCACCTCGGCGCCTCCCGCGGGGCCGCCCGGAGACGCCGCTCGGAGGGGGGGGGGGACCCCCCCCGCGGGGGCCGCCCGGGAGGCCGCCCGCAGGGATAGGCGCTCGC